GTCCCATTTGTCGATATTTGTGATATCACAAATCCCGGAAAATATGCGTTGTAGTACAAACGAGTCGTTCGTTGTAGTTTTTGAAAAGTGATTTCTGTTAAATAAAATATCTCCTTTTGAAGTGCACTTTGAGCTTTGTAACTTTGCAGATCTTTTTCATGCTCAAACAGCATGAAAAAAACATTACAGACTAACTAAAGTTGAAAAAGTGAAAAAGCATAATAGGACCCCCTTTAAAGAGATAATTTATGGAAAATTTGCCATGCTAAGTGGAAGATTTCTGCCAAGATTTCACCTGGTAGAAAAACAAATACTATTAAAATGAATGTCATGATTCCCACTATGACCACTAAATGACAGCAGAGGATCATTTATTGTCTCCTTTACCATTTCCACTCTGCAATATAGTTCTTTTCACATGTTTTGCTAATGTATTTATATTTAGACATTATAAAATCACTATTATAACATTTTAAAAATCTCTTTTTTGTCAAAGTTCAGCATTGTTTTGTATTGAAGTATGAAGTAGCAACTCATTGAATCTACTTGAATCACACAGATGGCCTATTTTGAATTCAAAACGGCAATTTTCAGCGAAAGCTGGCTTGTTTGTATCCTTGTTTACAATCTTAGTTTCTCTCAAATGTAAATCAAACGCCCATTCACAAACAGGTGTTTTTTTTTTTGAGCAATAGAGATACTCAGAAATGATCTGATATTTGCCCTCTTAGGCAGTGGCAGTGCCAGGATGTTTTCATAGGGGTAGCCAGGAAGGGGGAAGCAACAAGTCTGGGGTGGCACAGAAATCTTCATTATTTCAATATAGAAATGGATTTGACTATAAAGTACTGGACCGTTTTAGTGCCTAAAACACAACTGAATACAATTAATTTGTGAATGACCAATTTTGTTTTATTTTAGTATTACCTAGGCTCCTGGTATTTTAATAAAAGGGCTCACTATAGCTTTATTGCTCAGTCAGCTTGGTTCTGGGTCTTAACACCCCCAAAATCTTGTTCTCCACCATTGCAGTGTATTTGAGTGTGTGTTTGTGTTTCTGTGTGTGTGTGTGCGTGAATGTGTGTGTGTGTGTGTTTGAGTGTGTGTGTGTGTGTGTGTGTGTTAACACCCCCAAAATCTTGTTCTCCACCATTGCATAGGCCCACTCATGGATGAGACATGCAGATAACTGTAGTCATTGCAGCAATTTTGTCATACCTAAACCGAGCTCTGTACAAAGGAATATAATGTAAGAATGTAAAATAAGTTGTTTTTTTCATGCATTTAAATATAGTTTCATTTTCTTTTCATTTTCGTACTTTAAAAATTAACGAAAAATTAGCGCATATTTTCTAGTACATTTAACTGCACTGTGCTGCCATTTGGCCTACTTGTGCATTAAATTATAAATAAAACAAATTACATAGCCTATCATCGGGCGCCCTATTGTGATCTCGAATTGCAGAATATTTCAGTAGGCTGCATGCATTTGAGACGTTCTTAAGTGTAATGCACATACATGCATGCACAGTTTTGCAGCTTTAATCGCCATTTTGGTAATTTCGTGACTTAACTGACGATGTACGCTCGCGGTTTATTTATGAAGTGAGCGTGCGCCTCATTTTCGCGTACAGTTGAAGAGCGTGCGCCGTGAGCACAGTAAAACAGCTGACAGGACAGGAAAGTTTGTTTTACTGACATATAACAATATGTCATCAGACCGCAGTTCCCTGTTGGTCTACTGAAGCTCATTTGGCACCTGTAGCCTACCTTTTCCGCGTTTGTTTGACTCGCGCCTGGTGCAGGGGGCAAGCTGAGGTGAGCATCTGAAAAGTCTCCCGTTTGTTGTGGTCGCAAAGAGATACGGCCGTTCCGCGTCTTAATCATTTTTTAATAAATAATTTTTGAACTCATTAAAATGCTAAAAAACGTTAAATAAAAATGTTGCATTAATTCTTTTTAATAACTAAGCTTTTGATTATTTATAACGTTTTATTAAAGAAGATTTTCACAGAATGATTTTGGCTCAATGGCGCCCCCCTATGTGTGGCGCCCCTATGCACTGCATATACTGCATACCCCGTTTTAGCGCCACTGACTGAAGGGCACAAGTAGCTAAATATGACATTTATTATAATGGGTTTATGTGAAGATTTTTTTAAGTTCACATAAATTAGAAGTTATTGCCACAGATCTCCGTCTTCAGCTGATCGTTGAGCTCCTGCTGTTCCTCCACGTCTCTCTGCAGCTTCTTCCTGCTGTTCTCCAGCCTCTCAATCTCCTCCTCGGCCTCGTCCAGCTGACGCTTCAGGGTTTTCAGACGCAGAGACAGCTGCAGACACGTGGGCCGAGTGTGAGGCGTGTGTGGACAATAGGAGTCGCTCCCGTCTGAGAGCAGATCTCTCTCTCATTTGTGTGGAAATGAAAACAGAACAGGATGATTGCTGACACATACACACACACACACACACACACACACTCTCTCTCACACTCACACACACTCTCACACACACACACACACTCACATCATATGACCCCTATAAGTTCGCTTAAATTAGAAGTTATTTTAAGTAGTCTAATAAATGTTAAAATTGATAGCTCTCAATTATACTGTAATGTTGAATGGTTAGTTAATGGTTAAATATTAGGGAGAAAAAAACTATTTCCTAGAGACATCAGTAGTATTAGTATCAGTGATACATACTGGCCTTCAATCATAAAAAAAGATGCCATTAAACAATTATTAAAAATATAATGTCTTTATGTTGTTTGTACATCAATTTGAAGATTGAATGTGAAATTGTTGCAATGTAAAAGTATTTATAAAAACTTTAATGTTAAGTGGGATTAATCGTGATTAAATTCAGAAACAATGTGAGATTAATTAGTTAATTTTTTAATCAATTGATAGTACTAATATCTATATATATTGTTTGCTACAATAAATAAACAATATACACTCACACACACTCTCACACGGCTGGTGCACTATCCTTGTGGGGACTCTCAATTGGCATAATGGTTTTTATCCTGTACAAACTGTATTTTCTATTCTATTTATCGCCCTATACCTAAATCTACCCCTCACAGCAAACTTTATGCATTTTTACAATATCAAAAAACTAATTCTGTATGATTTATAAGCTTGTGTACCCTCAATTTAGGTCCCCACCATCACACGAGTCCCCATGAGTCTGTGTGTGTTCAGGTTTAAAGGGGTCATATGATGCGATTTCAATTGTTTCTTTCTCTTTGGAGTGTTACAAGCTCTTGGTGCATAAAGAAGATCTGTAAAGTTGCAAAGACTAAAGTCTCAAAT